TGTCAAATTAATATATATGGTAATCAACTAGCAGTGGCTACAGACTGTGTTACGTGACTTCATACACAATACAACTGTTGTGCCGTGATCCCGAGGGATATATAGGATAGTATGGAATGAATTATAATATAAGTACTTATACTATACTAATGTTGCAGTAAGTAGGTACTACAAGGTTTCATTAAAATTAGTTTAGTAGTTTTTGCGTAACAGAGAAACAAACATACACACAAACTTTCGGATTTATTTTATAAGAAGGATTCGTATATATGTTCTTAATATTTTAAACATTTATTTGTGATACTTGGTTTCTTACTAAATATTATAAATTCGAATGTTTTCTCAAAGACTAAATTGAGGTGATCGTGTAATCTGAGATGAAACCAGTTAATGAAAGAGACAGATATATACCAACGTCACCTCGAGATTGTGAGTTGTCGAAAAATATCGCATGCATGATTAATATTGAATGATAATTAATATAAAGCAATAAAAATTATAAAAAAACATGTTATAAAATACTTAAAAGATCATGTTGTTTTGTTAGATGGTAACGATTCATTTAAACCGCGACCCTCGTCAAAGTCACCTGTCGGATAAACCAATTCCGAGCGGCAGGATACGGATATAGCTTTCCTAATACTACATCCGCTATACAACCAACAATATATAGCACTAGGTTCAACAAGTATTACATCCAATTAAAAAATACAACTCGCTGATATTATATAGATAGTTCATAGAAAAATCGAGCTTTTTTGGTAGTTTAATTTATCCCAAAAGATGCTATCTAGAATCTATATTCTCAAATCGACTATAAACTTAAGAAAATTCTAAATTTGAACATAATTATGAATAATATCTAATAAATAATTAATATATACAGCGATAAGAATCACATATACCGAGCGGAGATGATGAATAAACATTAGTACAAGGGCCGGTGTTGAGGTAGGTCAGGAGTTATACATACATACAGAGTGATAATAGGAGACTTCTGAAGATGGTCTTTGCAAACCATTCATCATAGCATTTCCAGGCGTCTGGTTCCAACGGTACAAGTAGGGTCTATTGTGTTATGCCGCCCAATGTTTACCTAACTTCGTATTTCAATGGTTTGTAAAGAAATAATATATTCAGTATTAATAACAGGTTGTTTCTTTGAAAATTTTATAATTTCATTCCATTTTTGAAATTCTATTATAATAAATATTAATTATCTTTAAAGTTTAAGGTGCAGTGTTTGATAGGAATAAAGTGAAATTCGCTTGTGCAAGATATAAAGATACAAAGGATATTGTTTCTTATGATATTTATGTTTAGGATTGAATATTGAAATCAACTGTAGGGCTGCGATAATACTGTATTGTTCTGATCTACTGTTGGCCGTACGTACATAAAATAGTTAAGTTAGAAAGACTTGTTCTGTCTTGTTTTTAAAACCGTATCTTCATATACAAGATAATCATCCTTAAATGTGTATATTATTTGAGCTCCATCATTATGGTTGATCGTTATATTTTTGCACACCAAATATCGTGAAAACTATTTCACAAGTGAAGACTTTTATTTTATTTAAGATATTACAAAATTTGTGAATCCCTTCAGTTGAGACGAAATCATTTTGAGATTATAAGAAAAACTGTATTAGATATGATTATTTTTTTCATGAATCAAATTGAAATTCTCTATTTAAACTACTAAAGTCCAACATCTGTTCGCTAGTTAATAGCGATCACTTTAGCTAAGTTGGTAGTTAGTTTGTAACAGCATTCAGACGGAGTAACTTTAAACTCATGAGACTACATCATCCGTTAAAGGAAGTTATTCTATGATTCACTATCAGATACACTCAGATAGAACAATGACATGAATCATGAACTCTACATCTACCGACTATAGTTATTACATGGTCTTCTTAATTATATTTCATTAGGAAATAAAATACTTCATTATGTTAACCACTAGTCCGCGTTCCACACTACATACGGAGAGTTAATATTAATTCATTCATAAATCCTTTACGATACAGAGTGTATCATCGTAGGATATTGTGTGAGAAACGGGAACGTTTGTAGTGTGACGATTAAACTTGTGGTAGACATAAAGCTATCTAACATTAGTTAGTTCAAAGTATTGAAGTTAAATTGAATTATGAAACAGTTAATGCTTACATTATCATGGTACTAACTGTTTATTATAGAACGCATTTATTGATTTTAATAGTATCTGAACGACTTTTACTAAACCTATCTACATATATTCCGTGTTTTCCTTCCGTGACGTATTGTTCTATTAGGACATTTGATGGTTTACATTCTGAAGATAAAAAATATACCTACAAAAAGATTAGGGCCTGTACAGAACTAGTGTCAATTTTTTCTTGGAACGTACCTCGAAAGGCAGCCCTAGTAGGGTCTTTTCAAATTTGGTTAAGTAGGGTGAGGAGCTTCGACGGTGAAGGTGAGCGTTTAACGCCGTAGATTTTACTTAAAGGGGTCCCTTAAACCTACACCTGAGTCACAAGTCCCACGCACTGTTGAAGGTCCTTTCCTTGCAACGCGATGGACCCGAAACCCACACGGGGAATCCATTGAATGATTAGAGATTTCGTCTTTTTATCAGGAGCAATGCTAGTTACCACATCAAGAAGGTTACTTTTACATGAGCCTTATCTTCCAAACTTTTCGACCACTATGACGTCATCATTCTCGAAGTTTCTTCTTCGTCATAGAATTCTAATTCCGATTTCTAACGAACTTCCAATCAAAGTAGACAGTGAAACGAAAAAACGATGATTTCAAGCGAGGAGATATTAAATATGATGGATAGTGTATTTACATACTTTGATAAATTTAATTAGTGACGAAAACAAATGAAACTTACTGCTGTAATTTCGCCATTAAAAACTTCTTTTCTATTCATGAACAACGGTATCGGCAATAAATTTTTCTTTTCATGCATCTAATATATTGTTGTAATTACAAATATAATCGGTTTAATGTAAGTTATTCTGCGTAATAACAGATTTCACGGAGACTGATCAACGATAGGATTAAATACATTGACGCATCAAACACAAATTGGCTTTAGATGTACTTTGTATTGACATGACATCACATGACATGACATTGTGCATGACGATATTATCATTAATACAACATGTAACTATAAAGAAATGCCGATAAATAAAAGAGAGAGAGAATTCAATACGTATTAATAGGTTTTAAATACATAACAAGCAGTTAGAATCATGTAAAGCAATAAATTTATGAAACTTAAAACGACAGTTTTAGTCATGTAGATAGTGCGATTATACCACGAATAAATATGAATAAACAAGGAATTTCTTTAGCCGTTTTAAATTTAATAAGCATTGCGAGCCTTATTAAATTGAAGAAATTATAACAAGAATATTGTTTGTTATACGAAATAATATTTTGTATAGATTCCTACTACAGTTGTTATTCGTCAATGACCTAATCCTCGCTGTTGTTCTGTTAATTATCCAGTTAACTTGTTACCTGTGATTAATGGACTGTAAACCTTCATCAAATGATAATATTATAGATGCATACATTGTATATCACAGCGCTCCTATACCTATTATTAAATAATCATTTCCTTTAAGACATATTTGTGTAATATTTATACATAGAAATGGATTTATAGAAATTCTGAACTTAAGAACCGTCTCAGTTTTCAAACTTTCGCGATTATTAACACAAGTCCTTGAAAATTTTCTCACTTTAGATAATTTGCGTGTACCTCAGTTAAAGTTTTTCAAGTCAAATTAATAGCGAAGTTTAAAGTTTTACATTAATACGTTGCAGACGGTAAACGGATAGTAAGTTTGGTAAACTTCGGTACCGTCAGTGTGACCGTATACGATGGAAACTAGTCCTAGGGCTACTGAACTCGAACCCTCCTACACTTCGGTAGTATTGTTTGTGTTTTCTCTTAGACTCGCTCGCTACAAGCCATTTACATACTATCGATAAAGATTGCCTTGTGACTGTTGAAGATGAGAACTTTAGCGAGACTTGTTTGTTCTGTGTAAGGCTTAAACTTTGAAAGTTACGACTCCCTAGTACGACTTATTGAAAACCGATATCATTGCGTTGAGAAATGAGGCATTTCTATGGAAATGTTATTGTCATGGTTTTTTTAACGAGAACATCAGAATATAATGCTTTTTTTAAATTTCTACGTAACAAAGACGTTAAGCCCATTCGATATCGGAGATTCTTATTGTATCGGCCTTCACCACACACCATTAAAACGAGCGATCCGCATCCATGGATTGTATTGAACAATAAAAAGTATCGTATCAAATGAAGCTGTAAGTTTTCTGAATAACAAGCGAACAACCAGCCAACCAGTCAGCCAACTAGTCAGCCAGTCAGCCAGCCAGCTACCGTGATAGCTTCGTTCTCATTAAATTTCAAGAGGCGACGATCACGCGCTCATCTGCATGCCCGATTTAAATTTGTAATCAGTCCCCGGGGACGCTTCATCCATCATTCATCCTCACCTCGCCTCATCAATTAAAGGATGCACCAAAAAAGATGAAATCTCGTGTCAGCTCTGGCTGCTCTCGAGTCGCCACTAACCGTTCATTATATCTCTCACAGGTTTTTTATTGCGGCAACATTATACGTGGGTGTGGTTGTAATTTCCTTTCACCGACGTAAGGGCACACACGCAATCCTAGAGGCTAGTAAATCATTCTCGACCTTATCCGCTCCGGTTATGATCTAATTTGTTACGGCGCCGACGTTCCTGATGAGGAGATCGCTGATAAAATATGAAGTCGTCCGTCTCGCTCCGACCACGGGCAGATCCTCGCTCCGTCTCGCTCGTTGCGGACGTGAATGTTTTTACGCGCGCCGGGGGGCATAATGTTCGTTGTTTTGGCGGCAAAACGCTTCGGGGACCGCGTAACTTAATAATGCGAATGCTTCGAAGGGTGATCGTAACAGCATGTTTTATTTACGGCATTACAATCGGATCTCCAGACGATTTTCCGGAGAAGCAAGTTTTAGTGGATGAGTCAGCGTCGGAGGAGCAGCGTGCGTGTGACAGCTCCACGGATATTGAATATATTTGAACAAGGTGACGCCGAATAATATCTCCATACTATATAATATAATGTCATCTAGAATGAATAGACATGTTATTGGCTATATTTATGTTCACCTCTTAGGCTGGAGCAATTGTTGACGGGTTCCAAAAAATCTGATTAAACATTCACAGAATAATAGAGAATACAAAACTCTTTACACAAATAAAACTCAAGGCAGTACTATCGATAGAAAGTCGTCCTAACAAAAATAAATGGCTGCTTTGATCCGGCTCATACTTTATTAAAATCCCGAACGAATTCATACATTACCCCAATTTTGGGGCGCAATTAGTGCACGCAATCCCCCCGGTGGGGGAGTCGCCCGGCTCACCCACCTCGTTTGCCCTCCGGGGGCGAAGGCCGGGGGCCGCGGGCCGAGGGCGAGGGGAGGGGGGATAACAACGGATAGCCTTTGTAATCCCTCTTTGTTCCACATCCACTTCGCTCCCGGACAGAGGAAATGAAATTGGAAAATGATTACGCTTTTAGGTGATTGCGGCTTTTTAACGACTAATGTTACTATCATTTATTACACGCAATACATTACGGACGACCGGTCGAGTCGTTACAGTTCGGTCAGTGAGGACATCTGACCAAAGTAGCCATCGCTACACTCGACATGGCATTTAAAAATAACGATTTCCCGAAAATATGAAGATATGAAGAGTTATAGAATGTGCGAGTCGCTTCCCGCGAGGGTTGTTGTTGAATGTTCTGACCAATTTTGAACGAAATTTCATTATACAAATGAAATGTAATTGCAGAGTTTCGACTGCAATTAAGGTCCATTAACAGAGCCGTGGCCCGTGGAGTACTCATTATGTTGTACGACGGCTAACTTTAATGATAATACGAGTGCAGCTACTTTTTTTTACAATTTAATCAACGTACCTATTGTATTATTATTATGAATCTAAATCTCTATACTTCTAAGAACAAAGAGAAACAATCTATGGAGTTGATGGTAGTTTACAAAGTTATTGATTTTGAGCGTCAACTTGCTACATAGTGTGATATAATAGTCAGTTTAAAATTATTTTAATTATTTACACATATTCCCAAACATTTCTTATAATGTTTATTTCAGAATCTAAACCAAAGTGTGGTTCGTAAACCTGTCTAACATAGTCTCAGCAGAATGAGAAAAGATATCAGAAGTACGCGATCAATACAGGTCAAATATTTTGTTTAAGTATTAAAACTTTGGGCATTTTGTTATAAAAGTTCCGTATCTATCTACCAATAAAATCGCTAATTTCAAGTTAAATTTGGTCATTCTCATCCCTCTTGTTCTAAGTTCTTATTTAAATGCCGTTTTTTTTAAACCAAGAACTATCTAGGATTCTGAAGTATTTTAAGTCCAATTGGTAATCAATGTACAATGATTAAAGACACCAGGAATTGACAGTTTATTATTGTGCTGATATAAATTCTGGCTGACTTCAATAACCAATTATATTATCTTCATATAATATGTATACCTATCAAGAGAGTTTACAAAATCAATTTATTTAAGAGAATTAAGGCGTTTCGCTTTTTAGCTACATTCAAACATTAATATGTTAGTCGAACAAACCCACAGCGAGAGTTATAGTTGTCAATAGAAGCAGTTTGAAAAGATAAATGTACATCTCCGTAGTGGTCCATTTACAGCATCCAGTATGTTTTATCTCACTCGCATCACTAACACCCGCGTCAAATACTTATTGAGATCGATTTTCGATTTAAGATTCCATATTTTTCCTTTTTTATTTCACTATAAGAGATCTTTTAAAGTAAAAGCATTATCTGGTGTTGGACTTGTATCAATATAAAAATTTTAAAATAACGCGCTGTCTTAATAATTGAATGTTACCGTAAAAATAGATACTTAGTTAGCAAACATAACTTTACTATAGTAAACAACAATTTCAAAAAATATAATTTGAACTGAACTAGCAAGTCATTAAAACTGTATATCCAAAATCATAATATTTTTACTCCATACATTCACAAAGACACTTCATTTCAATGGTCGTCTGTGTATGTTTGAAACAACAACCTATTCCAGTGATAGTTTCACTCATTGATAAAATGTTTTAGACTTACGTCTAGTCTGTGTATGTTATTTATATGTGATTAGAAAATATATTATAACTATGAGCTATGACCCATACGCCATACTGGCTGCGTAAGAGGTAAAATTCTGAAAATATTTTTTACGTAAATATTTTTATTATCCTTAATATTCCTAATATTTCTATGATATTGTATACCATTTTTTTCGGATACTAATCATTTTTCATTACTTTAAATCACAGTTTTGGGTTACTGTATCAATCATAATAATATTTTTCTTCATTATTTTAAGGGGACCTGCTTGCATTTCATAGTCTTCTTCTATCTGGCAATTTCCCAGCTTTAGCCTGGGTCTGCTTTACATGTTGTGAATAGTTTTGGCTAATTTTTTTTACGACTGCCCGCTTGCCTGACATCAACAATCTTTGGGAATGCCTTAATCAGTGATGTCTAAATACTCTTAGAAAGTACATATGACTCGGAAAAATTATATTGGTTCTTTCCAGGATCGAACCTGCGTCCTCGTGCATGAGAGGCGGGCCTTTTAACCACTAGGCCATCACTGACTTTAACTTTTGACTTTGATACTATTATAACGTTATTTTTATAATATAATTATGTTATTTTCTGTCTCTTTTTTTTTTGTGCAATAAAGGATATATATATAGTTGTTTTATTTTAATTGTGAGTATAAATTAATCGTTATTTAAATTTTTTAAGTATCCTAATTACTTTGTTGTTGGAATATCTTTAAGATAAATATTAAATTCCCGTTATTGAGACATTATTAGTGATGAAATTTGACCCGCGGTATCTTAAAACTTCCAAATTTTATAAATTTTCAAAACTGTTTCTAAATATTTATGTCATTTTATAATGGAAATGGTTTTTTGTAAGTATGTATTTTCTCATTTATTCTAATTTCTTCTAACATGTTACGTTTCTATTTGTAATTGTTGTAGCAGGTACACCAGAAAAACACTTTTTTAGTTTGTGTTTGGAGTTACAAATACCTATGTTATAATTATTTCTTTTTTGAGTATTAGTCCAGCCTTTTGAGCTTACATAATATTATTGTGATTATAATTATTAAGCCAAATAATGTTAGGAAAACCGTACAACTTAAATTCGACCAAAAAAATTCCTAGACAGAAAATTGCAATAAACGTTATAAATATTATATTAAATTAAATAATAGTTATTCCTTTGATATAATACATACATCCAAAATATATATATTAAACATTTTTGTCTATGTAAATAGATACACAAACATGTGTTTCGGTAAATATATAAAACGAATGAATTTATTTAAGATAAATTGTATTTAGACGGCCAGAAGGTACGTCATGAATACTAAGTTTTTTGGACAGTTTAGAAGTTAAGATAACAGACAGGGCTTTGAATAGAACAAAACAAGTTTCCATCGGGAGAAAGTTTCGAAAATGACAAGTGGAAAGCTGCGGTCATTAATATAAGCACATAATGTTTGTGATTTATTTACCTAAATGACGTTAAGGGATTATTATAATTTGCATCAGAAGACAAGATAAATATATTTCGTAATAAATTTAAGTAAAAATACAAACCGGAAAACAGATATAACAGTAGATATCTAGATACTCAATACTAATTAATTACGTACCGATATAGTATGTATAGGTATATATATTAGAAAAGTACCTAACCATTTGTAAGTTAATGTATTATATTAAATTTTCTGTCCTAAAACTGTTCTAATAGTTGTGAACAATGTTCATCTCTAGATGACCTTTAGAGATGTTTAGTATTAAAATAGTCTAGCGTTAAGTAGAGGCTAGAGTTCAGGCTCAAAGCAAGGGTTTAAAAGGATAGGCTCTCAGCATCATCAGACGGATTTAATGGAAATTTCACAAGAGAGGAACACAAAAAAAGGTTCTATTATGACTCCCGGGTTAAGATATTAATTGAATTTTTGGGTAAGATGTTATAAGGGTCCATTGAAAACCGCTTCTAGATACAGTTACACTCAACATTTTTTTGATGTTTATGATTAAAAAGTTCCGAAATAGGTACCTATATATAAAATTATTAAAAAATATCTATTGTAATGTTTATGAAATTTTACTGATATGACCTTGTTACGATTTTTGGTGTATAAGAATAATGTAAATGTGGAGGATCGTTTGTTATTCAGTCACGCTGCAGTTACTTAAATGCAAGAAGTAGAAGGCAGTAGGTACTTGCGTGGACTTAACTTTTGTTTGAACTTTACTGAGAACAAAACATTTTTGTTGGAGTGTAATCGGGAATAAAACGTAGGACTGTCAGTTTATGACATAGAAAATGGACAAACAGGAAGCAGTCGATCAGACCAGTCGAGATACTACTCTCATAAATGGTTAAGAGGTTAAATAAAGTTTACTTATTATAGTAACACGCTCCCTTTTATTATTTTCTCTATAATTAATTTTTAAATCCGTTACCAACATATGTATAATCTGTATTGAATGACGGAAGTATGTCAAAACTTTCGTTGCAAATGAGCGTCGTGTTATCTGTGCAAGTCGCGGGTAATTTAGTGACATTACGTTCGGAATGGCGGCAATTTCTCTAGTCACAGTCGTGCCTTTGTATATGTCGACACAGAGTTCCCACGATATAAAGACAGACATACTGAGAACGTTTTAGACGACATACACATATAATGATTTTGTTTAATAATGTACTCTCGAACTATTCTGTTACGTAATATAAATATATCGATTCGATAATGACGCCGCCATTTTATAAAAGATAAACACTCGATTAACATGCTAGAGTGATATTCGGAATGATGTGTGTTTTATGAATATTTGATTGATCTATAAAATGTTTGATTAATGTAACGGCAACACTGACGCGGATGTAACTATCTGTCAAGGTGATCTGGACTCGTCGGATGCAGTCCGCCATCTTGTGGACGGTGGACGGAATGAATAACGAGGTCGAGCATATTAAAACGAAACTTTTAATTACATTTACACAACATTATGACGGAATTGCAATTTATTATAAATTTATAATTTAATTTTAATGATGAATATCGACTCGAACATCGACTATCATATCGTTAGTCGATATATCTCAATGTCATCATTGATAAATCATTTAGATATTATCTGTAACGAGAACTCACCAACATTGAATAATAAACAGATAGTAGGAAGTGTGCGGACACGATACATCGATCAATTTATAGTTTACATAGCATGGGATATATTATAATATATAATATATGTATAAATATAATATATTTGGGTACATTTGTTCGATGTTATCGTAACAGTTCGTTGGCGAGCGCGGCGCTGCGGTCGCTCGTACGTCTGTGAACCATAAAGTAATTTTAATCGGACGATT